CAAGGTAACTGCTCGCAAATGGCCTGGATCCGCCATAGGGATGGACGATCCCCCACGACGGGGCAGGCACGTGATTTTCGGACGTCTGAAAGTGGGCACCCTTTGCGACTTATATGGAACGCGCTCGGTGAGGAGGGGAAGAAGGAGGAGGAGGAGGAGGAGAAGGAGGAGGAGGAGGAGGAGGGAGGAGGAGGAGGAGGAGGAGAGGGAATAGGAGCAGGAGAAGGAGGAGGAGGAGGAGGGGAAGAAGGAGGAGCAGGAGGAGGTGGTGGCTACTCGTCCTAAAGTGGGACGGGTGCCAGAGCCGCGGCAGAGGCAGGAGGCCGGGAAGAGAGGAGGGGAGAGGGGAAGCCGACGAAGAGCCATCCGACAAAGCCGCTGAAGAGGAGGCTACCTTCGGCCATCAGCCCGCCGCCGATCGATCGAGCTACCCTCGACGGAAAGAGTAATGACATCAGGAAAAGACGAAGGAAGAGGAGGACGGCGAGGAAGGGCGAGGAGAAGGAGGACGACGACAAGGAGGGGGGCGCCTCCTGGCCAGGGGAGAGGAGGGGGGGGCATGACCCGCAATGCGCAGCTGGAAAGGAGAAGGAGTATGGCAGAACGCCGAGGCGAGAGAGCTAAGACGATCCGAATGGAAAATCTGGGAAAGCAGCTTAAAATCAGAACTCCCCACTGGATTGCCCCGGCGACGAAGCGCTGGGAAAGCCCAGGGGCCGCTTACAGCGGCAACTAGCGAAAATCGAATAGTACACGTGTTGACGATGGTAAGGACGCCAGTGGACATGACGACGGCGATGGCATTGTGACGATGACGACAACAGTGTCGCGGGCTGTGGACGCATCTGGCGATGATACGATGGCGGTGGTGACGGTTATGGTGAATGATAAAGATGATGATGACGCCCATCCCCCTCCCCCAACCCCCGTGGCTGCGGTTGCGTGTCTGGTTGCGGGTGCCATTTTGGCTGCCCGCGGTCGGAAATATGCTATCCGGTTGCGATTGCGGGTGCGATTGCGGGCGTCCGCGGCGAAATGTGCTGCGTAATTGCGCTTCTGGGTGCGAGCACAGACCCCGAGGCCCAGAATATGTTACCCGCTTGCGGTGGCGGGTGCGGTTCGGGGTGCAGTTGCTAGCACGGCTTGCCGGAGGCCGCGACCCAAAATGGATTGCCCGGCTGGGGGTGCTGTTGCGGGTGCGGTTGCGGGTGCGGTTACGGGCGCGGTTGCAAGCACCCGCTGCCCAAAATGTGTTGCCCGATGGCGGTTGCGGGAGTGGTTCGGGGCGCGGTGACAAGTGCCCGCGGCCCAGAATGTGCTGACCAGGTTGCGGTCGCGGGCGCGGTTGCGGGTGCAGGCGCAGCTGCGGTGGCCCGAGGCCCAAGTTGCCCGATTGCGATTTCGGGTGCGGGGCCCCAAAGTGCCTTGCGCGGTTGCTGGCACGCTGGCACTTTTGCGGGCGCCAGCGGCCCAAGATCGTGCCGCCCGGTTTCGGCTGCGATTGCGGGCACGGCTGCGGCTGCGCGCGCCCGCGGGCGTAGGCCACGCGCGCAGCTGAAACAAGTCCACACTTTCAGCGCCACGACGCTCGGAACTGGCACTCGCACGTGCTGGCATCGCCGGCTGGGCTGACCGAATGTCGTTTCCAAGGGCGCCTGCACTCGAGGGGCTTTGAGCTTTGTTCGAGGGACGCATGGCATCGCTAACGAAGGCGACAGGTTCAGAAGACGCTGGTCTGCGTCGCTTCGCGCTTCCTCTCAGGACACCTCACAGCGTGGCACCGCTTCCCTCTGTTCACCCTATCCCCCATCCGTTGCTGCTCCTCATCCCCTCCCTCCCCGTCCATGGCCAAAATCCCTCGCCACCTCTCTCTCTCTCTCTCTCTCTATATATCTTTCTCTCTCTCTCTCTCTCTCTTTCTCTCTCTCTCTCTCTCTCTCTCTCTCTCCCTCTTCTCGCCCTCCCCTCCCTCGCCCTCGCGCTCCCCCTGCCCCCCCCGCCTCCCCCTTCCCCTGCCCCGCCTCCCCTCTCACCGCACGCCCTCCCGCTTCAGCTCCCCTCCCGTGCCCTCGCCCCTTGCCCACCTCGCCTCCGCAGCTGCCCCCCCCTTGCGCCCGCCTCCCCGCCCCTCTCTCCCTGCACCTCTCCCGCCCCGGCCCCCCGGAGCCCCACCACAGGGGGCCCGACAGGACGCACGAGAGCGCCCTGCGGCAAGACTCTCGTGCTCCGAGATCCGACGTCTTGAGGTTCTCGCCTCACGACGCTGGCACTCCCGCCCCGGCCCCCCGGAGCCCCACCACAGGGGGCCTGACAGGACGCACGAGAGCGCCCTGCGGCAAGACTCTCGTGCTCCGAGATCCGACGTCTTGAGGTTCTCGCCTCACGGCGCTGGGACTCCCGCCCCGGCCCCCCGGAGCCCCACCACAGGGGGCCCGACAGGACGCACGAGAGCGCCCTGCGGCAAGACTCTCGTGCTCCGAGATCCGACGTCTTGAGGTTC